GCTTCCTGCATAGACCGACAAGTTTTGAACCATCTGGAAAATAAAAACATGTTATCGAGAAAGCTTGAATAAAATGGGATCCATATATTTGACTCACACGAATGTTTTGGATAGCTTCAACCGTTGCAGGGAAAAGTTGAATTTCATTCAGACCCAAAGGGGCTTTCTTAAACTTTTCAATCACCATGGAAACAGCAGCATACACTCCACCGGATTCTTTATGGACAGCCAGATGAGTCATATTGGGAGGCAGCTCCCTCCGCTTCTTGGCAACCATCGGAGTGACCTCTCCACCAGGTGTTCTTCCAAAGGCATTGTAACATGTCCTGAAAGAACCTTCTCCAATCACCACACTTTCATCAACTTTGAAATGATACGGTGTTACCACCCATTCAGGTTTACCTTCTGCATTTCCTGTCAAAATGCATTTTTTCCCAACGGTGAAACCGTCTGTAGTCTCAGCAGGTGGAACAGGGCGAGCCATGGGAAGCTTTCGTCCAAATACGGAGATATCAATAGCCTCTCTGAAATCAAAGGCCGGTACTAAGGAGGGCATGTCAGCCAGACCAAAAATGAGTAGTGAACAAGAGCGGTGAGCTTACCTGTCTGGTGAGGTGGTATCACATGAGTCATAGCTACAGGAGCCACATCACTCTGAGCACGGTGGGGAGATTTTCGTGGGGTGATGGGTGGCGGGAGTGTGTATGTACTATTCTTGGTTTTAAAATTAGAAGCCTTCTTTCGAGTGACTCGTGGTGAGGTGACTTTTGTTGAAGTTGAAGGTGTACACCCGGCTTTCTTGCTTGGCTGGAATATTTCGACACTCAAAGGCAGATCACCATCACTATCACTATCACTATCACCATAATTCGCTTCTTCATCTCCATCATCTAATAACATCTCCTCATAAGTCAAATGTTGAGATGCCTTTCTTTTAGCTTGTCGTTGAGGTTGTACCGGCTTACTGGTGGAAGGTCAAAGCCAAGGATTATTTTTGACATATTTGTCAGCCAGAAAAATTAGCTCAAGGCTAGGTTCTCCTTTAGTGTCGTCAAGATATCTGGCAAAAACTTCATTGTTATGTAAGACCACAGGTGCTTTCCGGCCACGGCCGGTTTTGGCCAGGTTGAAATACTCAGAGTTGTAAACTTTGGGTGCATGAGGGTAAAGAGGAGAGTCAACAGAGTGGTCCCACAGGTTGAAGATGCCTTCCTTAGTGGCGTCCAAGAGTGTCAACAATGACCTATCCACAGTGAAAGTTCCCCGAAGTAGACCATGAGCGAAAGAGCCAGTCTCGTATATCACCATCCATCCTACAGAGCATACTCGGCCAGTGTGAGTGGTGAAAGGTGGAGGTTTAGGTGCTGCTGGGTGACCATTAAACATGCGGTTGCTGCTAGCTTGTTTCTTGGCAGCAGCTCGCTTTGACTTGTCGCTTTGAAGTTGGTGGACATGAGTACCAGTGGAAGTCGAGGGACGGGCTGCAACAGCTGCTTTGGCATTGATGACCTTGAGATTGGCAGGGCGGGGTTGGGAAGGTTGGGTGGGTGCCTGCTGGGGGGGGGAGAAGGAACCTTTTTGTTTCGGTCCGCATTGATGTTTTCAAGGCAGGGTCCACATATTTTGTGTTTGCCTTGACGAAGAGTACTTTGACATAAGGGACAAGTAGGACGGTTCATGATGGTGAAATATGAATTTCTGAGAAACCAAAGTTGAAGAAGATTGAAGCTGATTGAAGTTGATTGAAGAAGATTAAAGTCAATCGGAGAAGATTGAAGTCGATTGAAGTCGATTGAAGAAGATTGAAGAAGATTGAAACCGATTCAAGATGATTGAAGAATATTGAAGAGGATTCAAGAAGATTGAAGAAGATTGAAGAAGATTGAAACCGATTCAAGAAGATTGAAGAAGATTGAAACCGATTGAAACCGATTCAAGAAGATTGAAGAAGATTGAAGTCGATCAAAGAGAATTGAAGAATACTAGGGAACAATGAAGCCGATACAAGAATATTGAAGAAGGGTGAAGCCGATCCAAGAATATCAAAGAAGATTGAAGACAATCAAAGAAGGATGAAGAAGAGTAAAGATGGTCAAATAAGGATGAAGAAGAGTGAAGAAGAGTGAAGAAGATCAAATAAGGATGAAGAAGAGTGGAGACGATCAAAGAGGTTCAGTGTAGTGTAGGTTTGGTTGAACAAGTGGATGGGTGGAGACTATGACAAAAGTTGGAGGAATGACTAAGATGATTGGTGATGGTGTGTGGGTTGTGTGATTGGTTGAGAGGTAGAGAGGTAGAGAGGTACACTTTTCATCATCTAATGTGAAGTTTTCATTTTTGGGGTCTTTGTTTATGGTTTGTTAATTGTTGTTTTTTGATTATCGACATTTGTTTTTTGATTTTCAACTTTTGATTTTTTGATTTTTTGATTTTTGAATTTTGATGTCCTCTTTTGTGGTTTCCTGGTACTTTTTGTGTCAATGCGACAATGGGGTGACAAATGTTGAGTTCCAAGTTGTGAATCTACTGAAATTTGGGCCGTAACCTGGTCTGAAAGGGGTTTCTGCCATGACTTTTACTCCGGTACAGGGGTTTTATCCCTGTATTTGAGTATTTTCTCGAGTTTTGTCTTTGATTTTTGAATTTTGCACCCGGGAATTGTGATTTTTGTTTTTTTGTTTTTTGCATTGTCACCTTGACACCTCTCGCATTCCGTAGGTCCATCTTGCACTTCTGCTGAGCTTACAGAATCGACGTGTACAACTTCGATTTCCTCCTCAAAACGATCCGATTCATCGTCATTGACTAGTTTCTCATCAACAAGTAGTTCATGGTCTTGGGGTTCAAGAACTAATGGTGTATTGTCCTTGAATCGATCGAGTGAGATCAGTTCAAGGTGATTGTTATTCTTGATGATCGGCCGGGTCCTTTTGGGAGGTTGAAACCGGATAAGTTGTTTGTCGGAATCATCAACTATAGCACAATCATCATTGTCCAATGAAAGATTGGGTCGCTGGCGTTTTTGCGTGTGAGGATAGGATTTAGGAGACCAATCGACTTCCGGAAAGTCATCCAATGCCTCTTCATCAGAAGTCAATTCATACTTCTTCTTGCGTTTTTGAGTTTGATCAAGTTCGGGAGAGGATTCAGATGACAGAGTTGCAAGGTATTTCTTCATGTTGAATAACAAGCCAAATTTGGTCCTATCAAGCTTCTTGGTCTTCAACTTGCTGATGAGAGTTGATTTCATTGACTTTGGCATAACTGATACTCCATTTTCGACGATGATACAATAATTGGATGAAAAGTCTGGCGGCAGCGCAAGTATTCCGTTATCTCGCTGCTGAGTTTTTGATGGGAACACTGAATTGTTGGCTTCTTGTAGATAGTATGCGTAGACATCCCAACCAAGGGAGAAAAACCAATCTGAGCTGTCGAGGTTGATCTTGAATTTTTGAGGCGTTAGACCATGTCGTACATAGTTGGACTTGCCGGTGCCACTCAGGTAAAAAAAAATCATAGAGATTTCGATTTCCGAACTTTCCTCCTTGATTTCCTCTTCAATTTCCTTCTTTTCCTTCTTCTTCCTACCCTTTGGCTGACCAACAGTTCTCCTTCCAGACTGGGATGCGCGAATGGAACCTTGGAGTTGAGAAATCGAAGCAACCGGTAGCTCGAACCGAGATTGATTGATAAGCAAGTTGGGCTGGAACGCTGGCTGACTGAGGACGCCCTGGAACAGCTCCTGTGGAAGACTTGACACGGTTAAAGGTGTCTTTGTCTTTGAAGCTAAAGTCGGAGCCGCGGAAGTTGAAGGCGGATTTGGGGGTGGAGCAAGTGCTGGGGTATGCTGAGTATCATTGCTTTCCTTGCATGATTGACATTCGGAGCCTTTAAGGTAACGATAGCATCTGCCACACCCCAAGCACTGAGGCAGTGTGCACACAGAGTTGGGGTCTGCTTCCATCCTCTGGCATTGGCCACAAGTGACTGTTGTCATTCTTGGAAAGCGCTTGCTACAGTCTTGACATTCTAAACGATTATCCATTATCAATAGTTTGTAGTGTTGAATCAAAGAGTAATTGAATGATTGATGATGGAGAGAAGATGTTGATGACCTTGTTGGCTGGCTTGGATGAAGGGAGGAGACGTGTGAAAGTCAACATCTTGAAGGCTTCATAGAAGACTTCTCAAAAATGTATAAGGCAAGGGGCACTTTTAGCCTGCAAAAATGACATAGTAGTCTTATTAATGCAGGCACTCGAGGCAAATGTCATGTTTGGAAATCAAAAAGATGAAAAGTCGAAAATCTGAAAACCGAAAACTGAAAACTGAAGTTTTGAAAAGACCGTGGCGGTCACTTCACGTCACGGCTTCCGTACCTTCATGTTTCGTATTCCACCACAAGCAAGACACGAATATAACGTTTCCACACCAGGACCGCCGTCGACTTCAACAAAACAACCTCGACATCAGCAAAAAGCTGAATGGATGTTGTGAACATAATGATCGAATCACATGGAGGGACACCAAGTGGGAGGACCATCTTGAGTGGAATCGGTGCAATTGTGATTGACAATGAGATTCAGATTGAAAAGATGAGTGAAGAGTCGTCCCTTGTTTCAGAACAAAGGGTAAGATTCATCCTGTGATCAGGGTACTTAAACAGCCGCATCCGAACGGGTGGACCTCCGTTCAGGAACTGCAGCGGTTGAAACCGAAAAGATACGGTCTGATCATCGAGGTTTTGCAAAGATTTGAGCCAATGCGGTTTCTCAACCAGTCAGTGAGTGGTTGACTAACAGTATTTTTCAACTCTTTGCAAAAACCATTTGGACCCCGGGGCCAAACCAAAAATACTAATGGTTTTTGCCGGTTTTTTCTGAAACCCCCCCCAAAACGGTTTCTCAACAAAAGGGGGGTTCGTGGTGTACTCTAATTCGTATCTCGTAAACTACTCCGCCAGCAAAGGCTTGAAGAAACCTAACAGTCGATTCAATATGTCGTCTTCAGTTCAAGGTCAACCATACACTTCTCATGCTGCCGAGTCCGACAGTGGAACCCCCTGCAGACCTATCCGTACTAGAACCCAGGTCAAAACACCTGGAATGGTTGCACAAACCCCAGATTCTCGCCGTCGAATCACCATACCCGATGAAGAATGCGAGAAAGCCAACAAGAAGCGCAAAGCCAGTGCTGAATATCTATTAGGCAATGATTCTGATGCTTCTAGTGTTCTTGTTCAACCTAAGAAGAAAAACAAGAAAACCTCTTCTCAATCGAAGCGTAAAGCAGATACGGATGCGGCCTGCCATGATGATGAAGTGAGTACTCTTTTACACCTAGTTTCCTCCGTTGAACTTCATTCCAACTTACTTCATGCCCTCTTACTTTAGAATGTGTCTTCCAATGTCACCAAGAGTATGTTACGAGCCAATTCTGACGTTGAGTTCATAGACGAAATACAACCTAAGAAGAAGGCAAAGAAGGACGATCCAGCCAGTGAGCTAGGCCAACTGAGGGCCTACTACCATGAACCAGTGCATGAAGGTGACGATGTAAGCCTCTGCCTTATCCCTTCCATCATTCATTTTGCATTTTTTCTTCTTTTCATGTGGACGATCAATAATCTGATGTCGGTTACCTTTGGGATATCAGGACAGATCAAAGCCACCTCTTGCTTACGCCTGCCAGTTTTGTGAGAAAGATAAAGAGGACCCTGTTCGTGTTAGCTATAGCAACATGACAGGGAATCTTTGGAAGCACCGCGATGGATCGACATTGGCCGGCCATTCGGACGTTGGATGTCCTGGAAGAGTGAAGGCAAGGGAGGATCCCTCCCTTGGTGTACCCCTTTCGGTAGCCGAACACCGGGCTGCTGAGAGAAGCAAAGGGTCTACTACCCTCAATGGTTTTGTGATATCTATCCCCGGACTCAAGTTCTGCAACAAGACTTTTAATCAAATCACTTCCACTTGGTTAATCCGACACGCGCTACCATGGACTCGTGTTGAGGCTCCTCTATTGTGAGCCATGGTAAGTTACCTTCGAAGGGATGCAAAGCTCTTTGGACGCAAATTGGTCGCCAATGAGGCAAAGGCAATTAACACATCTTTAAAACAAAACGTGTTCAATGAGCTGAAAGTAAGCAACCTGATCCTCTCTCATTATTTGCCATGCCAAGTTTGCTGAATTTGTTTTTTTGATGTTTGCATCTTGGATCATCTACTCAGCAACTCACTTCACGATTCAACCTTGTACACGATGGCTGGACCAGTAAGGGGAATTGCCACGGATTCATCGGCGCCTCAGTTACCTTCATCGACCCGAAATGGACCTACCATGTTTGACATGTTGCACTCAAGGTAGTTGTATGGCACCATCATGGGCCTTGGTTGGCTGAGCCAATTGTCAATCTATTGGTCAAGCGTGGTATATATCAAAAGATTAGTTATCTGTTCTCTTATTTCATCCAAATTAGACGTTGGAAAGACATCATCAAATACTGACATTCGATCTTCCTTGGTACTTTTACATGCTATGCCAGACCACAGATTCAGGATCTAACAACAAGACCATGGCAACTGAGATGCACCGCCAGTTTTCATTACTACCGCAAGAACCAGGAACAGGCATCAAGTATCAATGGCAACCCAACACCATGCACATATTCTGTTTTTGCCATAAATTGGCTTTAATTGTCAACGCGGGTCTTGCAGAGCTCGGAATCAAGGCGCCCCCATCAGCAAAAGTCAAATCCGCGGCGCCTGGCCTTTTTCCTACGATTGGTACAATCACCAAGGAAGAAGAAGAAGAAGATCTAGACGTAGAAGACCAGCCTGAACACAATCCCGACGATCTAGAAGACTCAATACCTCCAGTTGAAAGCAATGAGTCAGCTGAATCAATTGAGGACGAGGCAAACTGGGACCTTGCCGATGCCAAGGATGAAGCTTCTCCAGCCGTTGCGTTGGAAGAAGAAGTAGCTCCAACGCACAGGCGTGAAGCCAATCAGGTAGACTTTATACTACGCAAGGTGATTTTCCCCTCAATTTTAGTAGAGCTGCTAAACATTTGCTCATTCCACCCTGTTTGTATTTCCAGGTCGACTTCATTGTTCGGCGTATCACACGCTCAGCTCCCTGGCGTAGAGAATTTGAGCGTGTGAGCGTAAAGAAGGGGTTCAAAGGCTCACTCATTGCCGGTTACGGTATCAGATGGAATATCAAGTACAAGAGCCGGCACAAAGCTTGGCTTGCAAGAGCTGTGAGTTTTCTTATCATGTCTGCCATCATTTCTATGCTTATTGGCTTGATTGAATTGCCCAGGTAGTTGATCAACTCTGTAAAGAGGATGTCGACCGTGTTCTTTCTGTTGGTCGGCGCCCACGCAAAAACGGTAAGCCTTATGGCTATTTCCACCAGCTCGAGATTACGACTGCTGAGTGGGCTCAAGTACGTCGTATCAATGTTGAACTTGAGGTATGTGAATAACTTACATCTTATTAACATTATCTACTATACACTATAACTGAAAAACCTTGTATTTTTTTAAAATCCTCTAGATGTTCCTTGAAACAACCCTCAAGATGGAAGGTGACAGGCCGACGGGTTGTATGGTGATACCGCAGTATGTGGAGATTCGACATAAGCTAACGGATAAGGCTGAGAAGTTGAGTACTACAGACGCTGTTTACCCAATGATAGCAAAGATGTTGGAGAAAACCCAAGAATATCTTGATGAGGCGCTTGGCTGCGAGACTTTAGTCATGGCAACCCTTCTTCATCCTCTCTTTTGGCTCAAGTTCTTCACCAAGTGGTTTGGTGGCAAATTTGGCAAGGTACCAATGGAAATTGAATCCACTTTGCGTCGAATTTATTGTGAATACGAATTAGAATCACCTCGACAGGGGGTTAAACCTTCCCAAGACAATTCTCGGCCCATCGGATCGAAGTCATCTACCAATCAGTCCAGGATGTTTCATGACGAGTCCTCCTCAGATGAGGATGATGAAGCCGACACAATTGATACCTTGCTGGAGAACTATCTGCAAATGTCGGACCGGATGCGCCATACAGATTATAACTTGGCAGATCCTAAGGAATCCCTTAAATGGTGGTCGGTACGTCTTTCAAGATCTGTTATCATTATCACTACATTACGCTTACTTCTTTGTTTTTCTTTATTCAGCATCATGAAAAAGACTATAAGATTCTGGCTATTATGGCCCGCGACTACCTCGCCTCAACAGGCTCATCATGCGCGGCAGAATGGAGTTTTTCCTGCGCTGCTGACGTCTGTGCCAGCGACCGTGGTAGTTTACTTGAAAGAACCATTGAGGAGTTGGTATCTAGTCGCTTATGGTTAAGAGAAGGGGTTGATTTGGAGTTAGATTTTGCAGATCTTGTTGGTGTTCTGAAAGCTCTCAACGTAGCTCTAGATTAATTGTGTAGATCAAAAATTATAACATGCTCAGATTTAGGTGGTGGTAATGAAATCAAGATGCACATTTTTTTTATTCTTTCACATATTTTACCGCATGTTGCGGTGTTGCGCTGCTGCTGCGTTGCGCTTGTGGAGCTCCGCAGCGCCATGGCCTATTTCGTGTTGCGGTTATTTTCAGCAACGTCCCCCTTGTAGCGCGAGTTTGATGCGTGTGACGGCACACCGCTGAAAAAAAAGGGCCTGCTGCGGTGCGAAGCGCGGCTGGCCCAGGGTTGCCTGGTGTGAAAACTCCATCATACGGGGTCTGCTTTGTCTGCCAACATGACATGAAGTGACATTCAGCTTTGTATCATCTGTCAAGAATTAATGAGCAACTCACATTTTTGGTAATGGTCACGTCACCCTCACCCTCAGATGGATTCATGGTCTTGTCTGCAAAGATACCTAGTAAGCGTACAAGAATCAAAGGGTATCCGGTTGCATTGTCATAAAAATTGCGACACTCACCTGATCATCTTGGTCCTCCTGAACAGCCGGTGGACTGGGTGCCTCTTCCGCCGGGGCCTGTTTGTCTTCCACCTGTGTATCAAAAAGAACTACATGTCAACCTGAGATGACGACACTAACCCAATAACATGACTTACTTTGCTGTTACTCCTGTGTCTACCAGAGTCCTGCGGTGTGAGAGCATCTGGTTAGTATGTCAGGTCGCATTTCATTCACAAATGCGACTGACCTCGCTGGCCTGCTTGCCACGTTTGTCATCCCCAGTAGCCTCAGTTGCACTCGCTTTTAATGAGCCCTGTGTTAATACAAATGTCAGTATAAAGATTCCAATGCTTTCCTCATATGATATGTCGTGCACTTACTGATAAATCAGGCCCTGTCGCCTTTTTTCTGCGGTGGTCTACTGATGCTGCTCTTCTGTAGTGTATAGATCTACTGTCCTGCTTGATAAACTCTGTCAGCAGCCTGAAATGTTGATCTCCTTGATCATTTGAAATGAATACACTTACCATGTCGTTGTCGTCCCCTTCTACACCTAAAGACATGGCCCTCGGTGACATACCTGTCGATGCGGCCTAGAAGTTGTTCACGGTCAGCGTCGCAATTACTTGAAAGATGCGACCTCGGGCGGATTCATCACCTTCAATTTGTCCACCCGGCTTCCTTTGGTGATCGTTGGGTGATTGGGAACACTCCCTAGGACCTATTCAAACAAAGCAATTAGTCAGTAAGTCGCATGGAAGCTGGAAATGCAACCTAGACAGGACCTGGCTGATATCTTCTTCCGCGCTTTGCGCACGAGTGCTCCCTCGTGATTCCTACGCAAGTCTCAGCCATCAGCTGTGTCCTCAAAGTCACATTTAACTCAAAAAAGCGACTTACCTGGGTGGAGGCCATCTGGATACCGGCGGTGTTCACCAGGGTGCGTCTCGAATTACCTCTTTTGCCGGCCTGCTTGGTTTACAATGATAATCAAAGGTGTAAGTTTTTTTTTGCAGTATTGAGCAACACGGAGACTGACCATTTTGTTTGTGCCTGCCTTTGATCTAGTATTGAGGGGGTCAGCAGTGGCTGACTCATCTTCTCAAACACTGGCGGGATTGCTGGGGGTGGGAGTGTCTAGACACTCCTCTCGGGCATTTGATGGGACCGGTGGTACTCAAATGCTGATGTTCTGTAGGTGCAAACAATGCATGGCCTGATTCAGTGATTCTATGCAACTGGAGGACGCAATTAGATGAAATAGGACTTACCTTGCTACCTGGGACCAACTCCTGCTGGATATCACCCGGAGCTCCACTGCTGCTTCAAGTCGAGCGGCTACTGGCTGGTCCTGACTAACAATGGCAAAAAGAAATCAGTAATCTTAGATAAGTCGCAATTTGTGACAAAATGCGACTCTGATGATTCAACTTACTTTGGTGTTTTGTTTCATACTGAATCTAATTTGTTGAAAATCCATTTCAATTGGTGTTAGAGATTTGTCAGTCATTGTCATACCCACTGGTTATATCATTGAATCAAGGTGTTATTTAGACTTACTGTGTAACTGCTAATATACCTGTACCTGTACTTGAATGAAATGCATTTCAAAATGTGGTAAATCAGTGATTGGTCATGGATGACTGGATGGTGTGAGAGAGCTAAAATGACTTACTTGTTGAAGTCTACCAGGTTCAGGTGGATTGTTGATGTCAGATTGGTAAGTGAGGTGAAATAGTAGTGATGTCAGTTGTGTTTTGTGTCTATGGCTCAAGGATGGTGGTTGTTGACTAACTGGGAGTGCTGGTACTAGCTTTTGTTCGATCGATCGAGTGATTGAGCAGCTACATGATGAGGAAATCCATCAGCTGACATGGCTGCTCCGGTAAATTGCTGAGATTGACTTACAGCTGCTAAAAAAATTATTGGCAAAATTGCAACTTTGTGTTGCACCGAGATTGTACTCAAGGCCGGACAAAACCCCAGTTTGACCGTGAGAGACCCGTCAAGCCCTCTCTCCCCTGTCATGTAGGTGACTCTTTGATTTCCGTCAAATCACAACAGCTGATGTCTTGGTCCCTTCCATCGCTTTCACCCTCACTCCCTCTCTCTTGCTCTATTCCTCCCACTTTCATCCTGCTCCAATCCTCCAAATTCGATCAGGTGATTCTCTTTTGTTTCTTACATCTCAATCACAGCCTTTAATGGAAGACCAATCCATTATATAGGGTTGGCTTGTCTCCACTGTTTTCCATCATTCGATCTTGATTCCTTCAATCAACTCGATTCCATCTTTCAAATCAGTTCCATCTAGTCTTTTTTTAATTCCCTCTTTCGTTTTGATATCATCATTGGTTGTAATTTGGTTGGATTGTTTTTGGTACGTTCTTTCAATTCCATCTCTTTCCCACTACTTCAACCTTTTGTGATGTTCAAAATGCTTCTGGTTCTGGTTGCTTGATGTACCGTCAAAACAAATGACTGACACTCACTGCTTCTTGATCATTCTATGTTTTATTTTCTTTGTTCCAGATGCCAACTAACATCTACAGTGCTGATATCAAGTTTGTAGTGGTCCGGATGGCCCTTCGAGGGATTCCATATCAAGAGATCATCAAGACTCTTGGTGTTGGAATCTCGCTTACTTCGGTTCGGCGGTGGTTTGATCTCTACCAGAGGATTCAAGCGGTGGTCACTAATCCAGCGGATTACTTGGACCGAGGCGCTCCGACACATCTAGGTGACACTGAGCAGGAGTTTATTCTTGACTCACTCCGACTGGATCCAACTCTCTACCTAGATGAATTACAAACTAAACTTCAAGATGAATTTGATATTCATGTCTCCATGATGACTCTTTCTAATGAACTGCGAAAACGGCTCAAGTGGACAAGAAAGAAAGCCCGAACGGTCCACCCGAACCAATCTCTAGTTGCCCGAGGTGCCTATATTGCTTTGGTTCATGGTATTGATCCAAGATGTTTAGTGTTTACTGGTGAGTTTGATTTCTCGGTTTAAACATCCTTGTATTGACCATTTTCTTTTACTTGTATTGACTATTTTATTTTATTTTACTTGTTTTGACTCTTCTTTTTCCAATTTTCAACAGATGAGAGTGCCATCACCAAGCGCCGATTATATCGAGATTAGGCCTGCGCCCCAGTTGGTGAACGATCTGTCCGGCTTGAGAGGCCAACAGCGGCGGTTAGATGGTCCGTCTTACCAGCGATATCCATTGATGGAATAATCGCTTGCAAGATTCAGTTGGGTGGTTATTCGCGTATTGATTTCAAATCATATTTAGAGCATGATGTAGTAAGTTTTCACCTTATATATTCATTCATCTTATCCATTCATCTCGTGCCTAACTGGTTTGTTTTATCTACCTTGTTCTAGTTGCCAGCTATGAACGCTTGGCCGGCCCGCAACTCTGTTTTGGTGATGGATAATGCTCCTATCCATCACGGAGGCAGGGTTGCAGAGCTGTGTGAGGCTCGAGGGGTCCGACTCTTGTATCTGCCAACTTACAGCCCGGACTTCAACCCAATCGAAAAAGGATTCTCGGTCCTCAAGGCACGTTTGAGAAGATCTCAAGCTCTTCAAGGTGCCATGAGCTTGGAAGAAGAAAGGGCTGCCATTTTTATTACGGCTATGGAAGTACTGTCACCTTATCTCTGTGAAAGCCTATTTTGAGGCTGCGGCTATCTTTGATTTGTTTCTCGTATGTGTGTGGTTGTTTGTTTACCCTGGCTGTGTCTTCTTTCACTCCTGCTGCTAGCTCTAAGATGTGTGCTTTTCTTATTTCAGTCGTGCTACTAGCTCTAAGATGTGTGCTTTTTGGCTTGTATGACTTACCCTAGGATTTGATTCCAACAAATTATCTATGATCAATGAATGACTCGAGAATATTGTTTAATACACTTATTGTTGACTACAATGCCCACGCCAATTTGAGGCTACTAATCAAACCTCATGATCATATGTGATTTGAACATATGAGAATTGAACATGGTGATTTCCTTTGATGAAGAAAAAATGAGACTGGCCCCTCAAGTCTTTATTGACTTTGAAAATTTTTGGGATGGGAGCCTTTGTGAGCCTAGTAGAAAAAAAAAGTATCAGCAAAAAAAATCCAATAACAAGTGGGAGTTCTTTCTTGGAAGATATTGAAACAAAATCATCAATGAAATTCATGAAGAGTATTGGGCAAAGTTTCATGAAATGTTTTTGGGTCCGATCAGCTCATTTCCTCACTATTTCCTCACTTTGGCCCGAAGGCGTTGATGTCTATTCACAATTTTTATTTTCATTATAAACAAATTATAAACAAATTATTAACAAATTAAGCAAATGAGAACCAGAACAAAAACCGATATTCAGACATGAATTGTAAAAAAAGTAACAAAAATCACAAATATCTGAGGATATGAGGACAAAGAATAATATAAACGAGAGACTGGCAAAGTCGATAAGGATAAATCGACTAGATAATCAACAAATGAGACAATAATAAAAAAATAATAATAAAAAGATACCATAAGGATTAAACAAGTGACTAGATAGAAGATCGAGAATAGATAAGAAAGTTCTGAAAGAAGATGAACCAAAAGCTTAGAAAGTCGAACAGGATAAAACGACTAGATAATCAAAAAAGGAAAAATATACGATAAGGATAACATAAACAAGTGACTAGAAGATGGTAGATAAGATAAGGGATTTCTAAAACTAAAAGCAGATGAACCAAAAGGAAAACTACTGAACGAGTGACTAGTAGATAATATAAGATATATAACAGATGGATAATAATCATAGTTGATAAGATATAAAATTTGAAATTGAGAACCGCTGAACCGAAAGCTTACAAGCATAAAACTCCCAAACAAGTGAGTAGAAGTGGTTCTATAAGAAAGAGAACATAGATAAAAAATAAAAGGGGCAAGTGAGACAAAGAAGAAGTTACTACATAAGAAATCGGAAATATCAAATAACAAAAGTGGCAACTTGAAAAAAATTCCAAGTCATCTTATTGAGGAGCTTCTAATGTGGAAAGCATTTGAAAGTTAGTAAGTACAATGATTCCAAAGTCGAGACAAAGAAGAAACTGACGATTCAATCTCGCATCACAAGCTTGGGCTGCAGCAAGTAGCCGAGCAGCTATGTTGCAATCAACACCGTGCTCAATCAAAGTCGCCTCGGTCATATTGACCGAGGGGATGAGATCCATCCAACACTCCACACCAGCTTTGGCCAAGTTCAACCGGGTATTGACATCTTCAGGCGGTACACCAACGAGGTATACAAAATTTTTGAGGGCAGCCTCATGCGATGCGATGACGTCCAGGCCTTCGGTCGTGTCCGATGTATCTTCATCGTCATCCATGGGGGCATCAAACCATATGGAGTCCCCTGTGGATTGACCTGTAGCTGATCAAGATCAACAAGAAATGTTAATGATATTCAAGAGCTTAGATTAGAAATAGCCAAATAAATGAAATAATAATGTAAAAATTTTGTACCATATTGAGGCCTGCTGCCTTTCTTGGGACTCGAGAAGCGAGGTGGACTCACTGCCGGCCAATTCTTGTAGTCGCTCAGGTGGAAGCTAGGCAGTGGGGACGATGAGGCCAAGTTGGAGGCCGGGAGTGTTTTGAATGGGTGGAGTCTCTTGTTTGACAGGAGGAGTAGGTAGACGGAGAGGAGCAAAAATTGGCTTAGGCTTCTCGTCAGGAGAAGATGAACATAAATTGATGATTGAATTATCAAAAGCTTTTGAGGTGCTCGCTTTGGGTTTGATGTCAGAGTTCCGACTTTGAAGACCACGGGTAGATTGAATCGAACGGGCAGCTGAGCGGCGAGCAGACCTGTTGAGGCCACGCTGAAGAACTCGGTCATTAACATCCATGTCTTTATGAAATACTCAAGACTTGACCATCTCATTTTTGTATTCAGCGGTATTGGGAGGCATGTGCATGGTTGCCATTCCTGCCGCCTAGAAACCCATACTGGAATCAATAGAAGTTCTGCAATTTGTTCAGATCAAGAAGGGTTATCACTTACTTTGGCCTTTGCCCAAATAAACGCGGCTCGAAGGGTGAATCAATAATGAAAGTGCGGATCCCATGGAGCCACAAGAATGGCTCCATCACCTCCAGCACTCCCCTCCTCCGCATGCTTGTGATAAATCTTGGCACAAGACTCATGCAAAGAAGCGAGTTTTTCGGAGGCCTGTGACAGACAAGTTGAGATAGATTGATCTCATCAGGATGATATAGAATCGAAGGAATATATAGGACAGAAAGAGCAAAAAAAACACTGCTTACCTCTAGGCGGGCATGAGCCACCACCGCGTCTTCATTTCCAGGACCTGTGGCTGAAGGGATGAGCTTCTTGGCCGCACTTACCTAATGGTATTTGGTAAACAAATGAGCTAACAAGATCAATGGAAATGGATCACGTTAAGAAGAATTGAAACACGTACTTGAGCTAGTTTTTTAGCCTTGGCGGATTCATTTTCGGTTTCAATCAAGCTGGTTCCCTTTTTTTTCTTAGAGGCCTCAAGTAGATCAGCATATTCTTGCCACGTCGCATGGCCACGTAAAACCACTTTTGAACGCCCAACAGTACCTTTCCAAGTTACAGACGGAGCCAAATTGCCCAATAGGATGATGTTACTCATACCTGGTGCATAAGCCTCGCAAATGCCACCGCAAAGCCGTTTGAACTCGTTCAATGATAATCCATATGAACAAGCTTTGAGCTCTATCACTTTGCCATCATTGAAAAGTTTTGAATCGAGAAGTTGCAACTTGCTAGTGGCACTACTGGCTGACTTGCGGGTAGCGATCTTAGTTGGAGGAGCAGCTACTAGTACAAGATCGACTTCGGTTTGAGTGTGGATTTTGAAAATCACCGCAATGGCGGACTCGTGCTTCTTGTCGAATGCGGCGCGGTTATTGGATCCCGCGGCGTATACTGGCTGAGAAACTAAGCGGGCCGGGGTGTCATCACCTGATTTGATGTCTACCATT